GAGATGAGCAGAGAGAGAGAGAGAGAGCATAAGAGAGATGAGAGAGAGAGAGATGAGAGAGAGAGAGAGAGAGAGAGAGCAGAGAGAGAGAGAGAGGAGAACAGAGGAGAGGGAGAGGAGAGCCGAGAGAGAGAGATGAGAGAGAGAGGAGAGGAGAGAGCAGAGAGAGAGAGAAGAGATGAGAGCAGAGAGAGAGAGAGAGAGAGAGAGAGAGAGAAGAGAGTAGAGAGAAGAGAGAGGAGAGAGAGAGAGCAGAGAGCAGGAGTAGAGAGATGAGACGAGAGAGAGAGACGAGCAGAGAGAGATAGAGAGAGAGAGAGATTATCATGAATAGGTATAGGGAGGTTGGTTGTTAGATACAGCATGTGTAAAACAAAAAATACTGTGTTTTTATAGGTTTTTATAGAGTATAACACGAGACCGTAAAGTTTTGGTGTAGATTAATTACGTGCACTTGTTTTTTTGGAAAGAAGTTTTTCTGACATACGTTTCAGATACGTTCACTCGCATGCTTTCATAGGCACAACAAACAGGGTCTTGAATAGAGCCCGGTAAATGTGTAAGCCGTGAAAAATGCACCTTACGACTTAATTATTTCTACAGGCGCATTTTTGTAATTTTGGTTTGTGCTCTTCCTGGTTATACCGACAAATAATTAAACTCCCTCTTTCATTCACATTTATCTCGCTAGCAGTTTACTTAGGGTTGATTAATTATATTGGGGGGGGGGTGCTTCGTTATAATAGGCACCTATAACCTGGACCAGTACCAAGTAGTTTGTTTCATACAGCCTAAATACATGGTGACAATGCGGCAACAGTCAACTTCCAAAAACACTCATGAGATTTTGAGTGATCTAAGAAAAGATTAGGTTTTCTGTTACTTGTAGAGTATAGAGCAGTGTTTCTTAACCTGGGTTCGACCAAACCCCAGAGGTTCGGTGAGCCAGTCTCAGGGGTTCGGCGGAGGTCCTCGGAAACGCATTAAAATTTTGCTAGAATTTGCTAGAATTTTTATTTATTGTTCATTCTTTGCACGCTTTCCAAATATAGTCTTGAATGTTGATGCAATATGTTTTATTTTTGGATTAATTGAAATTGATTAAAATTGATTTGTTTTTGTCAAATTTGAGGGGTTCGGCGAGTGAGCAGTGGGTTTCGTTAGGGTTCGGCGCCTCTAAAAGGGTTAAGAACCACTGACATAGAGCATTTCACATTACTCTGATCTGTTACCTGAGATGCTAACCAAAGACAAATCCTGATCAGAGGGGGTTACCTAGTAGAGGCTTAACGAACCATGCAGGACCAACAATCGTACTCACAATGCGTGTCTGCAGTATGTATAACGTGGCAGAAGCTGTGGTGTATAGTAGAGCTGAGAGGGTCTATGTCCCCCAGGGTACTGCCGGAACGTACCCTGGTACTATCTAATATGCCGGCCCGTACTTCGCCTACTCCACTAACGAGTCTAGGGAGTCGCCTACGCCTACTCCCTAACCCTAACCCTATCCCTAACCCTAACCCTATCCCTATCCCTAACCCTAACCCTAACCCTAACCCTAACCATATCAAATAGTTACCAGGGTATGTTCCGGCAGTACCTTGGGGGACATAGACCCTATGAGCTATAGTAGCATATAGCAGTAGTGTACAGTACGTAGTGGCAGTAGACCATGAACGTTAACCGCATAATCATTAACATTAAGTACGTCTACGAATGTTTCTCACCAGAGTGACGAGACAGCTGAGCTGAGGTCGCAGCTGCAGCGGCATCGGCAGGAGGCTGAGGAGCTCAGGGATGCGGTGAAGGAGAGGGATGCTGCCGTTGAAGCCGTGAAGCAGCAGGTGGACGCGTTGCGGGAGCAGCTGGCAGCGATCACCCAGCAACACGTACGTGTTCGCGCGTTCACAGACGATCGCGTCTTCGTTAGGTCGGGACCCGTCACGGCGGTTTCGTAATTATTTCTATTATTTTTTCTGCTCTTTCTTTTCATTATTTGTTTGCTAATTGTTATTATTTTGTGGTGTGCCGGATGGCTGTGGAGGGGAGACGCAGCATCGCCGCGGTTTCTTATTTTGATAATTTTTTCTGCTTTTCTTCTTTTCTTATTTGATTGCCAATCATTATTTTTCCCCGACGTCTAGGATGGGTGTGGAGCGGAGATTCAGCATCTGAAGACAAGCGTAGACGAGCGCAGCCAGGCAGCGGACGAGGCAACGCGACAAGCGCGAAAACTACAGGTGCGCGTTCCCCCGGTGGTGATGTCACGAGGTCAAAAGGTCGATCCCTCGCACACGAATGTGGAATTTTACACGCCAGTGCGAATTTACTGCAGCTATTGGCACTAATGTGAATTTATATGCGAAACGCGAACTTGTTTTACATGTCGTTGGCCCCCACGGCGTTGTCCAGCCTTCCGGGGTGGAGTTGGCGGGTTTCGTGTGCTTGTGTTGTTGCTCACCGGATGGCGCCACCGTGTCGTTGCAGGATGCTCAGCGGGAGGAGGTGGAGAACATGAGAGAGAAGCTGACGCGCACAGAGATGCAGCTGGAGGCCCTGCAGAGACAGCTGGACAGGAGCGTGACGGAGAGAGGAGCCGGCGACGCGGACTCAGACCTGTCATCGGCTTCCAGGGTCAGTGTCAACTCTCCCTCCCACATCCATTCTCTACCACCCACCTGAGACACCTACCCTCTCCCACCCTCTCCCGCTAACATAAGATGTGAATACCACTGGACGCGGTTCGTTCGCGACAGCGCTGTGTATAAGACTAAGGATAAAGATGTTGATACCACACAGTTTATATTCATGTCCACATCCACGACCACGCTATGTTTATAAATCCGTCTTAAGATTAAATTATTAGATTAAATTAGATCTCACGATTCAACATGCCGGGTACATACCTCCTCCTTGGCTAGCGGCAATTATGAGTCATTCTTTAACCGAACACGGGAAGTGAGAGGCGGGAACGCATCTCCTCACGGTGCGGGGGGTCGGGGGGATGCGTCGCCGTGGTTACGAGCTCAGCTTCCCTCCTCGCAGGATACGAGTGAGATGCTGGAGCTGAACAGGGAGCTACAGCAGGCGAGGCTGTCTATGGAAGCCACGCAGCGCGAGGCGGCCGAGCTACAGCGGCGCCACGAGCGGGAGGTGGCGGAACTACGCGGCGCGCGCGCGCTCGGCGAGAAGCAGCAGCAGCGCACCCTGGAGGAGCTTCGCGAGACGCGGGCGGAGAACGCCGAGCTGAGGAGGAGGATCTCCGATGAGGCGCCGGGGAAGACGTACGAGAAGGTAACCGTGGTTACTCGCACGATGCATGCAGGCGGTGGGGGTGCAGAGAGGATGCTCACGCACGTACGCGCACGCGTGGATCGGTAGAAACGCAACAGTTTGATCGTTTTTGATTAAATCGCGAGTGGGATACCCAAACATAGCTCTTACTTATTTACGAACATATTTGTTAATTTGTTATTACCGTCGGAGCTATCGCGAATGAATCGCACGCGTTAACTGATAACTAACGCGCGTTCGTTGTCGCCGCCGCCGCAGAAGCTGCAGGAGCTGAAGGACGAGTTGTCACGGCAACACGAGGAGCAGCTGCGTGCGCTGCGCGCTCACGCGGCGTCGGACGCCGAGCGACAGGTCACCGAGCTTGACGCCAGATACGAGGAACAGCTGAGGTCGCAGCGACGACAGCTGGAGAGGAAGGTAGGTGGCGCTGTTAACAGACAACTGGAGAGGAATGTAGTGACCTAACCCTAACCCTAACCCTAACCTGACCTGACCCTAACCCTACCCTTAATCCTAACCCTAACCTTAATCCTACCCCTAATCCGACCTGTGAGCCCTAGCCCTATCACAGCACTAACCCTAAACTTACCCCTAATTCTAGCACTGACCCTACAAGTAACCATAACCCTTTGACTCTTAACTCCTCGGCATGCATGGCCGCGTTAGCCCCGCTGCAGTAGCAGGTGTGTGTGTGTGTGTGTGTGTGTGTGTGTGTGTGTGTGCGTGCGTGCGTGCGTGCGTGCGTACGTGTGGCTTCACTACATGTGTTGTTGTTATGCTTACAGGTGCAGGAGGCTGTGAAGGAGGAGCGAGCGAGGCTTCGCGATCAGCATCGGCAGCAGATGGAGCAGATGCACGCGGAGGAGGAGCGAGAGAGGCTGAGGAGCGGTCAGTAACACGCCAACCGTGTTTACTATGTTTACTATGCCCCTCCCATGCCCCTCCCTTGTACTATGCCCCTCCCATGTTTACTATAGGGAGGGGTTGCTAAAGTGTCTAGGGGCGCGTGCTAGCAGAGTGTCGCGAATGAGAGGGGTTTTTCAGCGAGTTTCTTGGATTTTTTTTTCGATTCTTGGCAGATGATTTCTGGCGTGCGTGCGTGTGCGTGCGTGCGTGCGTGCGTGCGTGCGTGCGTGCGTGCGTGGGCGTGCGCACATGGTTTGTGTCTGGCTGCAGCAGATATTATCCCCGTGTATTTGTTTACCTATCAATTGTCAGTTTTTCGCCGTCGTCATCGTTTACGCGTCCGTCGCCCGCTTCGCGTTCGCTAATCGACACGTTCTCTTGTCGACGCTGCGCAGGCGACCTCACCGACTCGTCGCTCAGTGGCGCCCTCCAGCTGGTGGAGCGGGAGTTGACCCCGCTGACCCTGGGTCGCGACACGCTGGCGGTGCGGCCGCGGCAGGACGGCGTCGGGCAGGACAGCGACCTGCAGTCTATGACGGACACGTCCTCTCACTCGTTCAACGAGCTCATAGCCGATCCCTGCCTGCCTAGCCGCCTGCAGACTCTGCTGCAACGCCTACAGACAGATGGCGCTGAGGTAGGTGGCGTGACGTGTCAGCCCCCCGTGCTAGCTAGCAGGTGTGACGTGTCAGACTATGCACAAGAGAGCATTTTTCATGTTTTGAACGAGCAAAGAACTTCCGAGATATTTAGAAGTAATGGACAGGAATGCACAGAGAGAACGTGCTGTGAACGATAAATAGTAGAAAGAATGGGAGACAGATGGAGAAAGAAAGAGAAGGAAAGAGAGAATGTGAGAGAGAGAGAGTGAGAGAGAGCAAGATAGAGAGCGAGAGAGAGAGAGAGGGAAAGAGCGGGGGAGGGGGTAAAGAAATACAGAGAGAGAGAGAGGGGAAAGGAGAT